GGAGGCTGTGCCCCAGGGTGGACATCAGAAGAGCCCACGGCGGAGAGCTGCGTTCCGCTCTCCCTCCGGGGCAGACGTCTCCCGGTGCAAGGTGGCACCCTCCTGAACACCAGCACTCGGCTCCCAGTGCCCTCAGGGATGTTTCCCCCTCCTCAGAGGTGCCCAGCATGCAGGGTACGTGCAAGCGAGGGGCCTGCAGGGGCAGGGGGACCATGGTGGCCAGCCTGGAGCATCACCAAGGCCAGCGCAGCCGGGAGCAGTGGATGTTCTGAGACCAGCCCAGCTGAATGGGCTCCGTTTTTCTGATGTGCTGTAAGACCCTTGGTACACTCGCATGGAGCCTCTCTGGGGCAGGATGGCTTTGGGAAGCTTCTACACCACTGATGTCATTGAATGACCTATTTAAGTTCTCACCAAAGTCAGCAAAAACTCCCCATTGACTTCCGTGGGAAGGGTTTTATTTTAACTTAAAAAAACATTCTCCTTTTCCCGAGGGAGGGCAGCTACCGCTTTAGAAAAATAACGAACTACCACAGTGGGCTTAAGCAAGAACTGCAAGAAAATAGTAGGACTTGGCTGTTGGAGACAGTTTTAAGCACTTGTGGACACTGCGGGGTCAATCGCTCCTTAGTTTTGGGGTCTGCCTTTGAATTTGTTTTCTCCAGTGAGCTGCTTGCTGCATGGCCATGTTCAAAATGTCAGCCGTGCCTTTGATTGTCATTGCTCTGCTCACCTTGACTCACAGTGGCCGTAGCACAGCTTGCAGCAAGGGAGCACATGAGGTTTCCCTCCCGTTACAGCATCATGGACAGGAACTGCACTGCTTAAGGCAAAGGTTTTTGACTCCTTAAAGCCCCAGTACTGCGAGTCACAGCAGGCAGCACCACATAAAGATGATGCTGTTTTTGCTTATTCCTTTAAAACATTTGGGACAGACAAAGGCAGTTCCGATGCCATGTTGGCTATCGCTGCCTTGCCGACAGAAGATCTTCGGGCATCTCTGACAAGTCCAGAGGATGGATGTCCTTCCTCCTCCTGAGGCAGAAGCCCTTCAAAAAACACCGACCATGTGAAACCCTCTAAATCTTTTTTTTTTTTTTTTTTTTTTTTTGCAAAAGAAGAGCAATAAAAAAAAGTTTATCGGAGTGGGCCAGTGCTGCTATTGATTTTTACACGGAAGGAGCCGCAGGC